CCACAAATCCAACTCCGAATTTGCGCTCCTTTACATGGCAGCTGTAGTAGACGTCGCTAGGCCCCAGACATTGTTTGCCTTGCCCCGTCCAACGCATTTCTTCTGGGACGGGGGTGGTTTCGCAACCAAATACACGTTTATATAGCGAGCCGCTTGCTCCAAGCAGACACCCGCTTGCAGCCGCACCTACTGGTGAACAGACGCTGCAGACTTCAGTGAGCCCTTAAACCGAATAAGTCAGAGTGGCCCCACCGAAGCTCCCTCTCTTTCTGTCGTGACCCAAGGCTCCACTCGGATTGGTTACCGCATCTCGCACATGGGTTGCTCAAGTTGCCCAGAGTGCGCGAACGAGGACGCAAGAGTCGGGATTGAGTATAGCCATGCAACTGTAACTGCATACCCAGCGCAATGACTATAGCCCATCGCACTCCATTTATGCTACCATACGTTAAAAAAAATACACCACAAATAAATGCGTACAATAGGGAGTATAAGTGTACAATACGTATGTACATACATTGCTCTTATCAAAAATTATAATATTAGGATCGATAGGGGTCTTACTCCTGATCATAACGGTATAATTTTTTTCAGGTGGAATAATATTTACTGGTGTTATTGTAGTTCAAAGTACACTAATGTAGAAAACGTACATCGCTAATTTGATAAATAATGAAAATTTTTAATAAAAAATCGCGCGATTTAAAATCAATACGTCGATAAATAATGACAATTTTTAATAAAAAATCGCGATAAAAATCAATACTTCGATAAATAATGAAAATTTTGGATGGATGTACACCATGATAGTGAAACCAATAGTGACTTATGGTGCGGTGGCTTGGTATTCCAGGACTACTATGGGAACGGTGGGGCAGACNAAAACGTACATCGATAATTTGATAAATAATGAAAATTTTTAATAAAAAATCGCGCGATTTAAAATCAATACGTCGATAAATAATGACAATTTTTAATAAAAAATCGCGATAAAAATCAATACTTCGATAAATAATGAAAATTTTGGATGGATGTACACCATGATAGTGAAACCAATAGTGACTTATGGTGCGGTGGCTTGGTATTCCAGGACTACTATGGGAACGGTGGGGCAGACTCTCTCCAAGATTCAACGTCTGGCATGTGTTTGCATTACGGGAGCAATGCGCACATGCCCGACGGCAGCGCTCGAGGTAATGCTGGAGCTCGAGCCACTGCATATCTCAATTGAAGAGGCTGCAAAGCGAACCCTCCTTAACTTTGCGAGAGAGGGCTTCGGCAAAGGCAAGGTGTTATCATCCAGAAACAGGGACAAGCTAGGTACCCAGCTCTTCCTGGTTTTGTGCCCCAGGGACGATATTAACAGAGAGGTGGTCTTCAAGAGAAATTTCAGGACAATCACTTACAACAAGGCGACCTGGTGTACCTCTATTATGGAGTCACATACAGGCGAGCACAATACAGTGGTACACTGACAGCTCTAAAACACCCGCGGGGATTGGAGCAGGCGTGTACGGCCCTAGGCTGAAGCTTTCGGTGCCCCTTGGAACTTTCCCTAGCATCTTTCAAGCGGAGGTCTATGCCATCAGTATGTACGCTGAGATTAACATTCACAGGAACTATAGGAATGAAATGATACTTATACTAAGTGATAGCCAGGCGGCACTTATGGCCCTCTCAGCATTCGAGATCAAGTCCTCCTTGGTTTGGGAGTTTGTCGAGAGGCTCAATGCTCTGGCGGAGGTCAATGATATCCAACTAATGTGGGTACCAGGGCATATGGGGGTTGCAGGAAACGAAGAAGCTGATAATCTGGCCAGAACGGGTGCTTTCTCGACCCCGATAGGACCTGAGCCCTTTTTGGCAGTAGGACCCAACACCATAAAGGAAATGCTCAGAAGGGACAGCAGAAGAGGGAACTGCACTGGCTTGGCAAAATGGGCCAACGTCAGGCAAAAAGCTTATAAGGAGGTTACAATCTGTCAAGATACAGGCTTCTCATGGATCTCCCAAAAGAGAAACTAAGAATTATTACAGGTTTTATGACGGGCCATTGTAGGCTCAGAGGGCACCTGCATAAACTAGATATCTGGTCCAGCGACCTGTGTCGCTTTTGCGATGTAGCCAAGGAGACTCCTCTACACCTTCTTATGGAATGTGAGGCTGTTGCACGCAGGAGGAATAGGAGCATAGGGCACGTCTGGCCAAGAGAGGAGCACATACACTCACTGTCCCCGGGGTCTATTATGAAATTTATAGACACTCTGGGGCTGGTTGATTTGTTGTGATGAGCTAGGGGCTCAATAGACCTACTGGCCGCAGTGCCATACGTAACCACTATTTATCTATCTATCTATGGTGTCAAGTTGGCACTACATAGCACTTTTCTTAAAAAACGAGAGCTACAAATTTTTTCTTTCCACAACAATTTTTAAAGTTAAAAGCTACAATTAATGGCATAGTAACATATTGGATATCTCAATTCTATCGACTTGGTGAATGGTGTCAAGTTAGCACTACATACCATTTTTTCTTAAAAAAGAGCTACAATTTTTTTCTCTCCACAACAAATTTTTAAGTTACAAGCTACAATTAATGGCTGCAATTTAGTTTGGCATCCCCGGAGTTCCGCATTAAGGTAGCTATGGAATGGGAGAGTGAGTTCTCCTGATTGCAAATATGTATACTTTTAGCCGCAGCAGGCTTATAGTTTTTAAGTTATTTGTTGTTAAAGTTTGTAAATTGAACTAACCTCTCGGCGCTATTTCTCACAATAAACACTATATTTATGTACACACTTCGGCAAAATAGTTTTATTAAAACCCCGGCCTGAGATTTCCACTTCAATATACAATTCTTAATTATTTAATTAAGTAAAACGCGTTTATAAATATCTTCACAAACGTTTGCACATTTCATAAACAAGCAGAAATAACAATGGCTGACAGTAACACAAAATGTATGCTACCATACGTTAAAAAAAAAATACAACACAAATAAGTGCGTATAATTAGGGAGTATAAGTGTACAATACGTATGTACATACATTGCTCTTATTAAAAATTATAATATTAGGATCGATAGGGGTCTTACTCCTGATCATAACGGTATAATTTTTTTCGGGTGGAAATAATATTTACTGGTGTTATTGTAGTTCAAAGTACACTAATGTAGAAAACGTACATCGATAATTTGATAAATAATGAAAATACTAATAATGAAAGTTTTCGCCTGCGGCGCTTTTTCCATAAAAATCAATACGTCGATGAATAATGAAAATGTTTAATAAAATATCGCGCGAGTTTTTATTAAAAATTTTCGCCTGCGGCGCTTTTCCCATAAAAATCAATACTTCAATAAATAATGAAAATGTTTAATAAAAAATCGCGCGATTATTTATTAGAAATTTTAGCCTGCGGCGCTTTTTCAATAAAAATCAATACTTCGATAAATAATGAAAATTTGTAATAAAAATCGCGCGATTTTTTAATTAAAAATGTTCGCCTGCAGCGCGTGACTTTTTTTTATATATTGGGGGTGTTTAACTCCATACCCTCCTTTACTACTAATTCAACGCTGAGCAGGAAAATGGGTACGATAAAAACTATTATCTTTTCTCTTTCTCTTTTCTTAGATGTGGCAGCACTCTTCTAATGTCAGTGTGAAACCATGGTTGAATCAACAGTTCTGTATTCACAATGTGAGTATACATATATAAGTGCGTGATAATTATAAAAGCTTATTTAATTTACTAAAAAAACATCATAAATGTAAAAAATATGTTTACATTTTATTGTGCGGGGTTTTAATGCAACTATTTTGCAGGAGTGTGTACATAAATATAGTGTTTATTGTGTGAAATAGCGCCGAGAGGTTAGTTCAATTTACAAACTTTTACAACAAATAACTTAAAAACTATAAGCCTCCTGCGGCTAAAAGTGTATATATTTGCAATCAGGAGAACTCCCCTTACCCCCCACAGACACCTTTTTTTTTGTACGCGGGGGATGCTAAACTAAAATTTTCCCAGTAAAAATATTATCTTGCATCATAATAAGCGTTCTGCACAAAAATTACGCAAATACTGACGCGATAAATATTGAGCATGTAGCATTCGTGCGCGATCCATCAATCCATCAATATGGATCGTGATCCAAAGATCGTGATAATTACTAACCGTGTGACAGGACCCTATATGTATAATACCATAGCCGTTTAGACGTTAATAATCGAATATCGATAAACAGGTTCATTTCTAGGCTATTCAAATTTTACTAATATTCAGTGCTTTGGTGTTTTTAATAAATATGGATCTAAAAAACAAAGCGAGGAGAAGCACGGTGAGTAATATTAAAAGTTTATAAACATACCTTAGTAAAAGAATCATATGTGCATCCTGTTTTTCCTCGATTTGGAAAACATCAAGATGACCAACCGTTCAGCTATGGGAGAACTAAAAATGCAGCCGAATTTGTAAAACCAAGTCTTTTGTGGCTTCTGTGTAAAAATTTGGGCGAAAAGGTTGTGTTTGGTGTGGGAGAAGTTGATAAAATCGTTGTACCATCGGTTATGAATATGATTGTGGATGTTTCTTAGAGCCTCATCTATGGTAAACTTAACACTTAAATTATTATCACAGTTAACGGCTGTTTTTGCCAGAGAATCAGCCTTTTCATTGCCTGGAATGCCAAAATGACTGGGCGTCCAGATGACGATAACATTAAAAAAGTCAGAATTTTCAATTAATTAGTGTATTTCAAGGATATAGTAGTTCTGAGTGTTGTTTTTGGCCAGTAATTTGCAGGCGATAAGGCTGTCGGTAAAAATTAGGACCTTATTATAGTCTGATTCTCTGGCCAACTGAAGCGCGTTGAGAATAGCTATGGTTTCGCCATAGGTAGATGAGACACTAAAATTGATTTTGAATGTATGTTCATCTTTGTTAGTGTAGTTGTAGACTCCACACCCAGTGGTCGTAGGGCCTACAGAAGCGTCTGTGAAAAAAATGCAGAAATTAGAGTTTCTGTAGTCATTTACCATCGCCCAGTAAGTCGATTTTATCTCGTCAGTAGTTACATTAGTTTTTTTTCCAGTTAGCGTTTTGGTGATAACATGTAGATTAGGGGCAGTGACTGATTCTCTTACAATACAAAGGTTATCAAAGACATTCCTAAATTCATTAAAGACCGCACTATAACTAGAATTCACATTGTGCGAGTTGTACATATGTTCACTGAACTCTTTGTCAACAATCAAATTGTTAATTAGTTCTTTGGCTGTTAGCCATTTAGCCCTTTCTGCCGGTGGCAATTCGTTTGCAATCGCATAAATTATGGGGATAGGGGTTGCTGGGGTGAGGCCGAGGCTTCTCCTTAGAAAACAATTTTGGTAGGTTTGAATCTTCCTATTGACGGTTTTAGAGCAATTTGAAGTGGACGTACGACAATATTCAATCTTGCTCCGAACAACTGATTTATAGTAGTTCAGAGCAATTTGTGGATGTAGTCCGGACTTAACTGTGGTAAGGCATTTAAAAAGATTAGAGTTATTCTGTGATTTTTTAATTACTTCTGTATAGTGTTCTTGGACCGATAGTGATGAACTGATGTTCCTACCTAGAAATTTAATAGAATGGACCTGCTCAATAACTTGATTTTGGCATTGAATCTCGATAGATGTACGTTTGCCCTTACATAGATGCATAACTTTGGTTTTGTCAGCATTGAAGGAGAGGTTTAGATCTGAACATAGTTGCGCAAAGTCATTTAGTTTGTGCCTCAAATTTGCAGTGGCTTGCTCAAGGCTGTTATGGTACGACATGATTAAGAAATCGTCCGCAAACTGGTACAATTTGGTGTTGCTATCCTGGATGGAATGTAGATCTTTTGTATATAAAGCCAGCCNTTTAAAAAGATTAGAGTTATTCTGTGATTTTTTAATTACTTCTGTATAGTGTTCTTGGACCGATAGTGATGAACTGATGTTCCTACCTAGAAATTTAATAGAATGGACCTGCTCAATAACTTGATTTTGGCATTGAATCTCGATAGATGTACGTTTGCCCTTACATAGATGCATAACTTTGGTTTTGTCAGCATTGAAGGAGAGGTTTAGATCTGAACATAGTTGCGCAAAGTCATTTAGTTTGTGCCTCAAATTTGCAGTGGCTTGCTCAAGGCTGTTATGGTACGACATGATTAAGAAATCGTCCGCAAACTGGTACAATTTGGTGTTGCTATCCTGGATGGAATGTAGATCTTTTGTATATAAAGCCAGCCAGCCAGCTTGGGTCATGACTACTTTTAGTTTACTAATGTTAACGCAGTTATATGCGTTGCTGATGTCAGAGGCGCACACTGACTTTACGACCCTGTTTTTTAAGAACTGCTGCTTCATGTAAAATATAGTTGACGCATATGGTGGCTGACCTGTGCTTCCTATATACGAAGGAGTGTTTGGGTAACGTATTATTGTCCTCAAGAAAGGTGGAAATTCTATCTTTGATACATAGGTTAATGGATTTTAAAAATACAGAGATTAAGGCAATGGGCCTGAAGTTAGAATAATCATTTAAATCTTTGTCCTTCTTGGGGATTGATACTATTTTTATCACGCGCCACTTATCAGGGATTTGGTTGGTTAGAAAGACATCGTTTAGGGCAGTTCGCACATTATTGAGAGATTCATCAGGTAAAGCTTTTAGCATTTTATATGTGACTTGATCGACGCCACCGGCAGAGCTTCTGTTTTTAGAGTGTAATACTTTGTATAGTTCGTCAAAAGTTATTGCTAGGCTATTTGCAGGGATAAGTTCTTCGTTGAGCTTTTACAAATTTCCAAGCCTTCTTTGTAGTGGGGGCCTCATTTAGTTCGCTTATTTTATTTTCGAAATTTTTCTTTTTTGGCTCTTTCACTTGCTCTTTCCACTTTTTCTTGATTTCAGTTAAATCCAGAAAGTTTTGCGGTGAGGGTGAGAATTANTCGTCCGCAAACTGGTACAATTTGGTGTTGCTATCCTGGATGGAATGTAGATCTTTTGTATATAAATTGAAGAGACAAGGCAAGACACAACTACCTTGGGGGAGTCCATAGTGTATTTCGATGGAATCTTTACCAAGTAGTAGCTTTCTATGAGCTATGAAGTTGATTATACATTCCGTATAAGCATTGTGCAAGCCAATGACTACTTTTAGTTTACTAATGTTAACGCAGTTATATGCGTTGCTGATGTCAGAGGCGCACACAATGACTTTACGACCCTGTTTTTTAAGAACTGCTGCTTCATGTAAAATATAGTTGACGCATATGGTGGCTGACCTGTGCTTCCTATATGCGAAGGAGTGTTTGGGTAACGTATTATTGTCCTCAAGAAAGGTGGAAATTCTATCTTTGATACATAGGTTAATGGATTTTAAAAATACAGAGATTAAGGCAATGGGCCTGAAGTTAGAATAATCATTTAAATCTTTGTCCTTCTTGGGGATTGATACTATTTTTATCACGCGCCACTTATCAGGGATTTGGTTGGTTAGAAAGACATCGTTTAGGGCAGTTCGCACATTATTGAGAGATTCATCAGGTAAAGCTTTTAGCATTTTATATGTGACTTGATCGACGCCACCGGCAGAGCTTCTGTTTTTAGAGTGTAATACTTTGTATAGTTCGTCAAAAGTTATTGCTAGGCTATTTGCAGGGATAAGTTCTTCGTTGAGCTTTTACAAATTTCCAAGCCTTCTTTGTAGTGGGGGCCTCATTTAGTTCGCTTATTTTATTTTCGAAATTTTTCTTTTTTGGCTCTTTCACTTGCTCTTTCCACTTTTTCTTGATTTCAGTTAAATCCAGAAAGTTTTGCGGTGAGGGTGAGAATTAGCATTTTTTGTATGCTGCTTTGAGAAAGCGGAAGGCTTTGTCAAGCTCGTCAGTCCACCAGGCTTTTGGACTTCTATTCGGGCTGAGAGTGTATGTGGCTGCCTCAATTTCAGTTTGGAGTTGCGGGTGTATGTCGTAAAAATTTGGTTCAAGAATGGTTTTCTGTAAACTATCAAGTAGTTTTTTTTTGAGCCAGGAACCTATGTCCTTAGTGGGTGACCATAGTGGTTTCTATAGAGATAGGGAAAAAGGGATCGAGCTATTTGTGAATGACAGGTCAAGCACTGACCCATTAGGAGACAAGGTATCATTTTTAAACGTAATTGAGCCATAATTTAAGTGCCAAAAATTGTGTTCAGATATTATTCTGTTCTGTTATTGTTGCCTCTACAGGATTGAGTTTGGTCACCCCACACTCTCGCCCTGGCATTAAAGTCGCCGCGTAGTAGGACGTTTTCTTGGTGTTCTAAAAATGAAAGGAGCCTGGGTATTTCGTTTTTGAAGTCATTAGTGAGTACGCTTGGGGGAAAGTAAACCGCACAAACAACAAGATTTGGCTTTAGATTTTTAGTCTTAATAATTAAGACATCAGCATCAGTTATGTAGTTTATTTTATGATATTTAATTTGTTTTTTTCAGAGCTATGGCGACGCCGCCATAGCCATCAAATCTATTTTTCTCTATTATATTATAATTTATAATATTCCTATGTTGTGGTTCGTTACAAGTGAAAATTTCGCTTAGACATACAAGATCGTAATCGTAATGGTTTAAATAGTACTCTATGGTATTTATGTTGGATTTTAAGGACTGACAGTTGTATTGCAATATCTTCATTACTTTATGCATGGGCCAGGGGATTAGTTTTCCTGTTTATCGCATGTAAATCTTCCTGAATCATAACCTCATCAAATTTTTGCTTAACGTTTTGTACCTCCCCTAGAACATCGCCAAAGTGCTCGCCAGCACAGACCTTCTGAATAATTTTAAATAGTTCAGTGATAAGCTTTTCCATTTCAGTAACTTTGCCTTTAAGGTATTCTGGTTTATTAAGAACATACTCTCTGGGCGCTCTAACCCGGTTTTCCCTACTGGCTGCTTGTTCTACTGGTGCCTTGATAGTTGGCATTGTTTTGCGTACAATTGTACTGTATTTTGCTCGTGTAAGTTTTTTGTTAACATTCAAATCCCTATTTTTAACATTCTCTGCCTTTTCAGAGATCTTCGGGAAATCTATGTCCTCAGTAGCGAGCAAGTCAAACCGATTTTGGCTCTCGGAGAAATAGGTTTTTATTGTTTCACGTCTGGACAGTTTTTTAACTGTTCTTATGTAGTTGATTGAACGTTCTTTTTCCCATGCCGAGCAGGTGAGCTTGTCAGTAGAAACATGCTCTAATCTGCCGCATAGAATGCATTTTTTTACACATGAGTTGATATCACAGGTAACAAGGCCACATTTGATCCAACATTT